AAATTGCACTAACTACAACTTTTCCAAAAAAGGAAAATGTTAGTCGTGTTACAGTCTGAATCAGCAAAGCTACTTTCTAAATATTATCTTGTTCCCCTCTGAGCGACCCACCCTGTCAAGGCTCCAGTTCTCCTCAAGATAAGCGTGTTGGCAGCAAACTTCACCCCAAATTACATCACTCTTCATGTTCAACCGATAACTAAATCCATTAATATTAATTAATTGCAGAGCTTAGATTTCCAATCAGAACGCGTGGACTCTTAGATGTTTACTGCGTATAGCCTATAGCTTTAACTTTCCATACTCACATATGTCTGTTCTCTGAATTAGAGCATTTAGACCCAGTTATTTTACTTTTAGTGTATTGGAGCATTTTTTATTTTGGCATTGTGCTGTAAAAAATAAAACTATTAAAAGCTTTAATTTCGGAAAAAGGCGTAAAGTATGTCATTGGTGAAATAATATAATAATTTATTTGATTCTTTATTTCAATCTAACGGTATAAGGACAAGACATGTTGGATTTGGTCCAAATTAAAGTTATTTATAGAAGCATGCCACTTCAGGGTCGTATTAACACTCTAGATTTTTTGAAAAAGCTCAAAAAGCTTATTTCTGGTTTGGCTCAAATCTGAAATGATATTAAGCTTGGGCACATGAGCCCATATTACTTATTACCAGTTAATTTAGTTGGTAACTATAATCTTTCTTTTCTGACGGGTTTAATTTCGTCATTTTCGATGGCTGTCATTGGGTATTTGTGTTTTGCATTAAAAGTATGCAGACTGAATTGAATTGAATTCTTGAGTTTGAAAGAATTCTTTAGTGAAAATAGAACTAGAGTGAAAACATGTACTAAATTACTTATTTTTAACTTGTGTTTTTTTTTCACGAGTTGTTTTTTTTTTTGTCTTTATCTCATGCAAGCTGCAACACATCATTTGGAACCGGTCCAAATGCCACGCAGCCTATCTTGGAGGTGGGATGGGTGTGACCCTGCTCTGTTTTATGTATAAAACCCCCCATGGTTTGGGCTGATCACAGCATTCAACTTCAACCAAACAATCAACAGGCAAAATGAGTCTCACTGCTAAGGACAAGGCCGCAGTCAAGGCCTTCTGGGGTAAAGTCTCTGGCAAGGCGGAGGACATCGGCACTGATGCTCTGTCCAGGTAATTATGACCCCAAACTAACTGTTACCTTTTTCTAAAATTACTGCATATTTTCATTATGAATTTATAATTGTTTATTCACTTACTCACATTTATTACCCAGGATGCTGGCTGTGTACCCGCAGACCAAGACTTACTTCTCCCACTGGAAGGACCAGAGCCCCACCTCTCCCTCAGCCAGGAAGCACGGAATAACTGTGATGAGTGGAGTTGCAGATGCTGTGTCCAAAATCGACGACCTGAAAGGAGGTCTTCTGAGCCTCAGTGAGCTGCATGCCTTCACTCTGCGTGTGGACCCTGCTAACTTCAAGGTGCAGTGATGGTGATTAACACTTGGTAGTGTTTCTCAAACTGCTGTTATTTTTTTTGCCTTCGCTCTGCCATAAGAAGGTATGCACAAAACATTTTAATTAATTCAAACAAAAACAAAGCAAACAAAAATATAAATAAAACTTAAACGAATAAAAACGAAACTAAAACCAAACATTTTTAAACAAAAAAACTATAATGAAACACTGAAAACTAACTGAAACTTAAATTAAATATAAAACGCAGAAGTCATGTGATAATATTAGTCCCGTGCGAATCGGCATCTCTGTGATTTGGGGTTGTTTTTTATTGTTTATGAATTATCGGTATGTTTGTTACTTTTTTTTGATGGTGACCGGGTGCACGAAAAGTTAATATTTTGTTATGCGGAAATGGAACACTGAGTAGGATTGGAGACTCTTGATGGGTTGTATTTGATGTGGATTCATGTTGTATAACTGTCAGATACGATGTTTTTCGATGCTGGTATTAGGAGAGTGATACTAATGCATCATTTTAGGGTAGTTCTTACTTGACAGTGTAACATCTGTAGTGAGTCATTTTTAGAAAACAAAAACGATAAAATAGTTACACATGTGTGTCACTTTGTCACAAATTCTTTAAAAATTCAATACAATGTTTTTAGTGAAAATCAACATTTTTCTTTAGCAACATTTGGCATAAATTAAATCTCCTATGGTGGCCATTGTAGTCCATCTGTTACATGAAAAAGCCCTATGTAAGCAACTCGATGGAGTGTCGATGTGACAAACTGTTGGCCTGTTGAAAAAACAAAAAACAAATTGTGTTTTCCTTTTCTTATTCTTCTAATTATTATTATTAAAAACTGGACTTTAGATGGTAAACCCTGATATAATTGTGAACCTTCTTTTAAATTCTTACTTTTTTTTGAGTCGTGGTTGGTTACCACTTTTTTTTTTTTTTTCCTTCAAGTGGTGATCCCAAATAGGCTCAAATGGTTTCATCTAAAATGGAACAATGTATGTGTTGGAACCGTATTAACTGTAACCAACGATATATTTTCCCTTGTTCTATTATGTATGGTTGTTAGATTTGAGGCGAGAAATTATTATTAATTATTATTTAAATTTTAAAAGAATAGCTTTGTTGGTTGAGGTGTGTCTGTTTATGTTATCGTGATGCATAGGTAGTATCTTTTTTAAAGAAAGTTCAATGTGGCCACTATTTTTATCAGTGCTATAGTGTTGCTGTTGTAACGTGAGGGTTCGGTATGGGTGGTTGCGTGGATCATCTTTATGAGATAAACAGCAGGCATGGCAGACGGGATGCTTTCGTACCAAGCGGCTACGTTTACTGGAACTTCACAACTCACCAACAACCTTCACTTCCTTTTGTTCGGACCTCCACTGTGACTGAACTAACCAATCAGAAGCTAGGGTAAGGGAGCTAAAACAACTGTTAAAATATGTAAATAATAATTGTGTAACATAAATATGGTAAATTAATTCACTGCTAAACATTTAAATACATCTCTAGTAATTATATTATCTTTTATTTTTTTAATTTATATATGTTATATTATCATCCTCTATATCCCAAATTACTCCTATTCTTCATATATCATCTTCTACTTCCTGGTGTCTGGTTTCATCTTATGTATTATATCTCTATTATTATCATTTTTTTATCATTAGAATTTTCTTGTCTATCTCTGTTGAATTGTCTTTGTATTTTTGCTTGTATGAAAAAACAAAAGTGTCTAACAAAATAAGCACATGTATGTCCTAGTTCCCCCTATGTTGTATCTATCCTCATCCAGACCGATATATAGTTGTGCTTTCTATTCATCACCTTTTATCTCCCTTCGTGCTTTTCTATATTACCACAAGGGTCACGGCAGGGCGAGAGCAACAGCTGCCAAGACGAGACGTGTGGTAGGAGAACGATTAACATGAAATGCGTTTGTGAATACATGGTTTGAATATGGATAACAATAGTTAAGCCTCCACAACTTTACCTTGAAATTGGTCAGGGGTCCACGGTGCAGTTTCTCGGGGAGTGCATGCACGCTCAGTTCTGCATTTATGCTGCCTTTGATGTCGTCCATGTCTTCACAGCCCGGTCCAGGACCGTTGGAGGGATGCGCTGTTCCGTGTTTTTGCGACCATCGGATTTGCAGGTGATAGCAGCGGCGTGTGTTACGAGCGTTTCCAAAGTTGGCCGAAATACCTCTGAGTCCAAGGGGGTAA